CTGTTGTGGACTGTTTATCTGACAAAACTGACACTGGCTGACATGTCTCTTCAGATCCTCAGAGATCCCGGGCCACCAGACTGATTGGTCAGCTCGTTGTCGGCATTTGGATAGACCAAAGTGGCCATCATTGTGCAGCTTATTCAAAATCTCTGACCTGATACTCGAAGGGATGACGAGACGGTTGCGGTACAGGAGCAGAGGGCCTGACGGCAGGTGCACCACACTCAGGTCATGCCGGACGCTGAAGTAGTCCTGCAGGGCCCTCGGACCCTCCATCCAGCCATGAAGAGTCTGCTGGGTGACACGACAGATGTCATCATCCCTCTCCTGCAGCACCCGAATCTCCTCCAGGCGGTGATCACTCACGGGCAGGCTGCCGATCACGCCGGACACGTAATCGCTGACGTCATTCTGCAAGACAGTGGCGAGATTGTCGGTCTCTTTGCAGGGATGCCGGGATAGGTAATCTGGTACAACATGCTGCTTTCCAGGCACATAGGTGGCGACTGGATTGTACCTTGTCAAACGCATCAAAAGTCTCTGGCATCGAACAGGTGTGTCGACTAGGCTCTTTGAGTTGATCAACGGAATCAACGGTTTATGATCTAACTCAAGTCGAAACTGTGGTAGACCAGACAGTAGCATGTGCATTCGTTCACATGTCCAGACAGCAGCCAATAACTCTTTTTCAATTTGAGCATATCGTTGCTCGCATGGGGTCAGCGTTCTGCTACAAAACGCAACGGGTCTCAGCTGGGAGTCGGGTTGTCGCTGCAACACACAGCCACCGATGCCATAGCTGCTCGCATCAGCACTCACAATGGTCTCTCTGGTTGGGTCATAGAAAGCTAACACAGGAGCACCAGTTAGCATCTGCTTTACTTCGTCAAGAGCCTTTTGCTGAACATGGGACCACACCCAGGCTACATCCTTTTTCAACAAGTCGTTTAGAGGTTTCAGCTTGCTTTGAATCTGGGGCACAAACTTACCCAGATAGTTGACGGTTCCAAGTAGGCTCCTCAGTTCCTGCTCGTTCTGTGGCGCCTGCAGTTCTCTCACTGCTGCGAGCTTGGCAGGATCCGGTTCCACTCCTCTGCTGCTGATCTTCTGGCCCAAGAAGATGATGCTGTCCTTCTTGAACTCGCACTTCGCTTTGTTCAGCTTCAGCCCGGATGACTCGATCCGCTGGAGAACTGCCTGCAGACGCTCGTCGTGCGTCACACTGTCACCGTACACAACAATGTCATCCATGTATATCAGTACACCATCAAGACCAGCCAGCATTTCCTGCATCTTTTTCTGAAAACATTCAGGCGCCAGGTTTATCCCCATTGGAAGCCGCTGGAATGCCTTCCTGCCAAATGGGGTGAGGAAAGTGGTCAGTAGCTGTGACTCCCTGTCCAGTGGGAGCTGGTAGAACCCCGAGCTGGCATCCAGCTTGCTGTAGATGCTCGAACCTGCAAGTTCAGCTGTCAACTGTTCCACGGTGGGGATAGGGTGGATCTCTCTCTTCACACACTTGTTCAGGTTCTTGTAATCGACCGTGATGCGGACTGAACCACCACCCTTGGGAACGGGCACCATTGGTGCACACCAGTCAGTGGGCTCTGAGACTGACCTGATGATTCCAGCATCTTCCATTCTCTCCAGTTCCTGTTTCACGGACTTCAGCAGTGGGAATGGCACATTACGAGCAGTATGCACAGCAGAGGGTACGGCATCATCAACAAGCCTGATTTTGATTGGTGATGTGTTCATCAAACCAGTTGGACCAAACACATTCTGAGACAGTCTCACCTCTCCAGTGAATTCAATCACTCCGAGCCTCTCTCCAGTGGAGCGTGACAACAGATTCTGAGAAGTGTCCAGAACATAGAAATGTTCATTCTCAAGGCTCACCTGCTTGTACTTGATGGTTGCACTGAATACTCCCAGGACATCAAGGGCACCACCAACACTGGTCAGCTGTCTTGAGGTGGGCAGCAGGTCTGGCTTCTGCACCATCTGCTCATACTGCTGGAGAGACATGATGTTAACATCTGCACCAGAGTCCACTTTGAAACTGACTTGGCTTTGACCAACCTCAACAGAAACTGTCCAGTCCTTGCTCTTGTGCCCTTCAACCACCCCAAGGAAATAACCTTCCTCCTGATCCTCATCATGTTCAGTATCTGGGGCACATTGGACACTCTGAACTCTATGGCTTGAACCCGAGCAAACATTTGCAAAGTGGTCCCTGCCACCACACTTGAAACAGGTTTTCCCCAGGGCTGGACATTGCTGCGGACTGGTATGCCTCCTCCTTCCACAATACCTGCATGTTGTGGAGAGTAGTGATCCTCTGCCTGCTCGTCCACGACCTGATCTTGGTCTGGACGAGGCTGGATCTGGCTGGCTCTGGCTTCGTCCAACAGCTGGTCCAGGCTGGCTTGGGCGTCTTGCTTGATGTGGTGCTGGCCTGTATCTCGCTCTGCTTTCAATCCTGTTCACATTGTCTGTGGTACTCGGGTCATGCACGAGTTCATGATTACGAAGCATCTGCACCACAACTTCAAGAGTCACATCTGAATCCAGAGCTCGTAACTGAATCTGCTTGGACATATTTTTATCCTTCATTCCTGCTATCAGACGGTCTCTGATCCTTTCATTTTTGTCAGCAAACTGGCAGTGTTCGGCAAGGCAATGCACTGCTCTAATGTAGCTTTCGTTCGACTCGGAAGCGCCTTGTGTTCTAATCTCAAAAGCATGCCTCTCAGCAATCACATTTCTCTTTGGGGTAAAGTACCCATCAAAACAGCGCACAGCAGCTTCAAAATTGTTGTGAGGGAAAGCTGCTATGCTCAGAATAATATGTTCAGCCTCTGGCCCCATTGCATAAACAAGTGCACTGACCTGGGTTTCCTCCTCATCGAGATTTAGCTTTGACGCCTGGCGATATCGTCTGAAGCGGTCGCGCCACAGAGGCCAATGCTCTGGTGAAGTAAAATCAAACTGTTCTGGTGGGGTAAATCCAGACATCACTGCTTGATGTTGTCTTGCTTCTTCTCGCTTTCTTACACTTCTTCAAGTTGCTTTTAACCCACCAAAAATAAGAAATCAAAACCGCAAGTTCACCACAGGCTGCGCCATGTTTCGTGCTCCGTGCCGTGCCAGCAAGTGACACGTCACGCCTTTATTGGCCCACACGTTGATATCGATACAAAAGGCGACTAACAACATATCGATATAAGCGAATCACAACATATCGATATAGGCGACTCAACATATCGATACATCAATAATCAGCCGAATGTTCAATTTACTTCTGGCCCGTTTCTTAGGAACACTTTTTGTCATTAGATAATGTTACTTTCTTTTATTATACATAAAATGACTTCACCGGACACCGACAATATGACTTATTCGTTTGATTTTTGACACGCGGAATTAGTTCCGCTTAAGTTTAAAAATAAGGTCAAATTTCGTATTAAACGATTCAAAATCATTCAAATCAGTTCACCTTTCATGTTGTCTCGTCAAGAACAGTGGCTACTTAGGTACTTGCCACGATAAATGATTATTGGAACCTCATTGCATTTGCATGAGTAAATTAAATTCGCTAACGAAAAATGTCGGCACCTAAAAAGTACTGTTATGTGCTAGCCTTAACGTACCAACGAACCTCGGGTATAAACAGCTGACGGAAATAATGTTGAACTGGAAAGTAAACAGGTAAGATGCGATAAATATATAGGCATGCTTGTAAGGCACAACCGGGCCTCATGTGAAATCTGATGTCATTTTTCGATGGCGGCTTTCACGCATTTTTTTGCAAGATTCTTTAAAGTTTTGAGCAGAATTCTCCAACATATACCTATCAGGTTCAGCATTTTGGTAACAAATCGGTAAGTGTCAGCAAAGCTGGCTGTAATTTTATGTCTACTTTGCATTAGTTGCTGTTGATCTGAAAACGATTCAAGAGTTAACAGATCAAAACCCTTAAAGTGTGAGGAAAAGAGGAATAGTCAGCGAAGCGATGCATCCAAAACTAGCAGCCCCTGCGACTACTGAGAGGAGGTGCAGCCGCCGCCCGCCGCCCGCCTACCGTGGGAACTGGTGCCCCTCTGTGATTGGTCGGCCCGCCGTCTGTGGGGGCGGGGCCTGCGGACCGGCCGGGGAGTGCGAGGGGGCGCCGCGGCCCCCGGCTGGTCAGTCGGCCCGCGTCAGTCGCCGGCGGCGGTCCGGCGCCCGGCGCTCCTCATCTCTCAGACCCTACGGCAACGTGCAGCATGTGCAATACGGAGCAAGTACAAACCTTCAGTGTGGCAAGCGGCGACAGTGGCGAACTGAACGAGCAGCTGGTCATCGTACTTTAGTCAAGACGTGAACGAGTCTAGTCAAGAACAAGAGTCAAGATCTAGTCAACAAGAAATCTGTGAAAAAGGTAAAACTGAAGTATAAAAACAGTAAAACAACAAAACTAAAAATATTAGACTAGTTCACACAATCCAGTCAAGGTGTGTGTCCTGTAAATATTGTGAATAGCTGCATAGATGCGTTCAATCTAGTCATCGCCTGACGCAGTAAAATCAAACTGCTGCTGTCACGAAACAGTTGATCTCGTGAGTCATCTAGTCAAGACGTATTCTAGTCAAGAAACGTCTAGTCAGTGTTGAATCTACGTCGTTTGCACGTTATCTAGTCAAGACTCCTTTCTAGTCAGAGAAGAAAAAGTTCTAGTCAACGAAGATCTCCAGTCGAAGAAGGTTCCTAGTCAAGGCAGATATCTAGTCAGAGAGGATCTCTAGTCAATGAGTACATCTAGTCAAGAAGATATCTAGTCAAGAAAGATCTCTAGTCAAAGCAGATCTCAACAGGTTTCTCTAGTCAAGGAACATCTAGTCAAGAGAGACATACGCGTCGGGCTCCTCGACGCACCGGGTCATCAGGCTCAGCTGGGCCAGGCGGTCACGTGTCGGCTCACAGACACCACCTCTCTGCGAGACTGGCTGAGCGACATGTCACGTGACCTGTTCACCCGGCGTGACCCGACGCCGTACAGCGACGGGGAGCGGAGCGACCTCAGCTCGGAGCCAGAGCTTGACCGGCCGCCGCTACCCTACCTGCCGTACCCTGCAGCGTACCCCACAGCGTACCACGCCGCGTACCATGCGGCGTACTCGACGGCGTACCAGGCGACGTACCCGGAGCCGTTCGGCGCGGCGGAGTACCCGGCTGAACAGGAGGAGCCGCTGAACCTGACCCTGCCGCGGCCCGAGTCGCCGCCGCCGGCGCCCGTCCGCTACAGCTACCTGGTCCGCCGCAGGGACGAGCACGGCGCCGAGCACGTCACCTACCTGTCGCCGCAGCGGCCGCGCACGCCGCCCGCGCCACCGGCGGCCGTGGCGCGCGCGCACTCACTCTCCAAGTCGTGCCCGCCGGCCGGCGCCAGCACACCGGAGCGGGCGAGCGGCGCCGAGGGGGCCGGCGCAACGCGGCGGCGCAAACACCGCGCCACGCGCCGGCTGACCTTCGATGAGGAGAAGAGCTCGCCCATCTCTGGCACGCTGATCCGCGACCTGGCTGAGGGCGAGACGGTGAGCGGCGACATCGACCCGGCGCTCAACACCGTCGAGGTCACGGAACAGGCGCGATCAGAGCTGGCCAAAATCCCCAACCGGATCGGCGAGTACGCCTGCACGCTGTGCCGCACCGTGTACGAGGACGCGTTCACGCTGGCGCAGCACCGGTGCCCGCGCATCGTACACGTCGAGTACCGGTGTCCCGAGTGTGACAAGGTGTTCAACTGTCCGGCCAACCTGGCCTCGCACCGGCGCTGGCACCGGCCCCGCGCCGAGAGGACGGCCGAGCGGGCGGCGGCCGCCGCTCAGGAGGTCACCGACGACTCCCAGCCGCGCTGCTACCTCTGCGGCAAGGCCTTCAAGCGCGCCGCCGCCCTCAAGAAGCACATCGAGTCGCACGCGGCGGAACGGCTCGGCGCGGCGCTGCCTGGTGGACGTCTCGACTACCTGAGCCTGTATGCTGACCAAAAGATGTCGCTAGCGCTGCCTGGCGCCGGCCTTCTGACGGTGGCACCAGAGGAGTTCCGGGATCGGTCACCAGTCCGCTAGAACCAGGTAGCTGCCGACCCAGTCACCGTGTTGTTAGATGTTTGACCTTCACAGGAGCTTACACGGGGTGGGGTAGAAGTGTCGCTCTCATCTAAACGTTATGTGCTTATTTGCGGCTAGTATACCAAATATACGTAACGATAAGTTTCACTAAGTTGAGCTAGACCGGCTGTGTCTCCTGTGCAATCTGAGAGAGCTACATCATGACCTAAGGGACGATGGCGTAAATAAGTGATTTAACACGAATCACATGCAGTTTCGCGTACGATTTAACAATTACCATTTGTTTTTCATATAATTGCGTAAGTTGTCTTTCGTATGCTAGTCATGCATTTGTGCAGGTGTCATATTTTGAATTACGTTTGGTGTAATCATAGGTGTGTTTTATGTAGACATTGTACCACTATTACATACAGCGAGAAACATTCTAAATCACACTCTAAAAAGATTACCGAATCCTCGACCGATCATTTCGCAGATGTTTAAACATTTATTTATCTACATAAGGCTCTTTGTATCCAATCATTCCAATTAACGTTACCTGACTTGTTAATATTGATGTGTACATTTAATGTGTAAATAGTGATTGTTCAGGGCACATCTGTTGATGTTATGTAACCACCAGAGACCTGAAAACGGTCAGGTGAAAGACGAGTCCAATCTAGTCATTCGTAGTCGCGGACAAAGGACTGAAGACTCGCAATGGGCCGACCACATTCTGCCATGAACGCTGTCAAACCAAAGCCGCGGCTAAACTCATCCTGGCCAGCGCTTGGTTGGATTCATCCGGCTTGGATGTGTGGCGCCCATTGCGGGTTCGTCCCGATCTCAGTCTGCCTAGATGTTTGCTGTGTGTCGATCGCGTTACAGTGTGGGCTAGTCAACGCTCTAGTCGTCCTGGATGAGTTCATCTAGTCATGGAACGAATCTGTCAGTCAAACCCTAGTCATTGTACCATTCGGAGCCGTTAGTATGCCTAACTTAGCTCACTATCAGGAATTGCGTGTTATAAATGGACAATCCTCGTAGCGAGTTGTGCGACCAATTTGCGTCAACTGTAAGCGGTCCGATCTCGAGTAGTTTGCCAGCTGTCTTTCAGATCTCAGAGCTTCAAATATTGCACATCGTCTCACATTGCCGAAGGGTCTGAGAAACCGAGGGAAGATAACGGAGATGACGCTCGGAGGGGCCAGATTTGCCAGAAAAAAATAACGACAGCAGCATTGGCAGCCTTCGCTGTCCAAACGGACGCTAGTCACGCCAGCTTCATGTTTGGTGTATGTACATAGGTATTGTGTGGGTAGCGGTTGTGTTTAGCTGATGTTACTGTGCTCTTTCTAGCGATTTGTAAGTGTAGAGCAGGTCTGTCGTGTGCCGCTTTTGTACATTGTTTCCATCTCTTCCATGCGTGTTTTGTATGTTACAATAAACGTAGCCAACTCGTGAGCAGAGAGTGTTTGGTTTCAGCAATCACAGCGCCAGAGAGCGCGATGTTACTGTTAGCAAAGTGGAACTGATTTGCTAACAAACAGATTTCAGTTGAGAAGACAGGGCACGTTCCAGTACAAGTTATACCTTTCTAGAGGAGAGTGGGGACTGGGGAGAACTGGGTCGGGCAGGAGAAGTGGCACACCTCCCAGCTCACCCAAAAATTGAGAAGAAACACGTGAAAATGCATAAGAAACCATGAAAAAAGAAAAATATCAAAGAGAGAAGCAACAACCAATGGTTTATGAGTAGCCAATGCAATCGATTTCCATAAATTTTAAACACTCTATTTTTCATGAACATTTAAAGTTGATGTAAAAATAATGACCTATATAGTTCTCTTCAGTTTCCCCTATTTATGTACGAGTTCTTATTAGTTCGGTCATCGGTGCCTTGGGTATGCTTCTTCTTCACTCATCACTCGATGGTATAAAATGCAACTGCTCATCATCCTTACTAAAATCCCTCTAAACGTTCACAAGCATTATTAAGTACGAACTTCAATGCGGTCGGATTTGTGAAATTGTAACTAACCGGAACAATTCGTACCTTCTATTGAAGATATTGTGTAAAGGATGCAATGAGATCTGATAAAAGCCCACTAATAGATGGTAAGTCAGACAATAATGTGAAAAACATTTGATATGGATAAGCCACATACGTCATGTCGTCATACATGACAAAATAGATTTATTTACCTTAACAATAGGTACCGAATGTGAAACGACTATAATGATAAACAATGCCTAGCATTTCTTTCCGGTCGAGTCGTGACCTAGGCCTGAGGCAAGGCTTTCAAATTAGTTTTCTTGTACAATGCTTTAGCTTTGGTCACGAGTTAAAAGCTCATTTACCCCAAAACGTCATAGAAGAAAAAAACTGTGCTTAGAACTTATAGAAGTGGAACTCTGATGCCGACTTTTGACCGATCTGAAAGTATTTTCTCAATTATTTTTACGTGTCTGACCTTTCAAACGTGGCTTGCCTTGTCGCTACGTAGAGCCAAAATATGAATTTCTACGTGGCCGTTCCAACGCCTCCCCTTTTGCTGATGTGTCGTTCAGATCCGGCCCAGGGCGCGTAATAAGTGAACACTTAAGTCTTGTTTAGGTAAAACTTCCCGGCCGCAATCCTACTCAAATGGAATAATAAAACATATTAGTTATATGAGTTGCAACATATTTCTAACCACCATGCAATGCACAGTTAAGCGATCCACTTATATGGGAAAACGGAAATCAATTGAAAAAGGATTGTCCTTTCAGAATAAACAAGGTGCATCATCCTAATCGGCATCGCTTTTAATCAGAGAGGGCCAAAATAGGGGAAGCCGGGGGAAGCCCGGGCGCGGGGGAAGCCCGGCCACCCCGTTTCCGGCTAAATTATTCACAATAAAATGCTCAACTGTTTGTCCTTTCAGCGTGGCAGCTAAGGTAACGCCAGCAAAAAAGTTAAGGCTAACAAAAATTGCATATTGTTAAAGTTATAGCGCAAAAATGATATTTTAAGGGTTTTTAGCTAAAAAGTGAGATGTGTTGCACTGTTAATGTTATACCATACAGTACTAACTACTAATATTTATACGAATGTTATGTAAGGACCGTTTAAGTGTTTGTAGTGAGGGGTGACGAGGCAGGCTGGCGTAAGTATGACATTTTTTTTCGAATATCGCTGTTCTAAAATAAAAATTAGCACATTGGGGTAACCCCGGGCGAGTGGCCAAGCTTACCCCCAACCGAGAGCAATGCCACTAAACCACTGTTTTCCATGAGATAATAGGTACTGAGCAGGATCGGTTTACACCTAGATCAAAGATAAATTGCGAAAATAAACATATTATCATAGACAAAGCCAGTCATGACACTTAATTAAGGTCAACTAGGGTCAAACTACGTTTTTTGCAGATAACGCGACAGACAATGAAGCTAGAGCTTCAAAAATGGTGTCGTTGTGTTATTCTTCATCAGCCGAGTCGAATGATATGCAATATGATGCATTAAGGTAAAAAGAAAAATAAATTTTAAGGAATTTTGAAATACACATTTTTGTCAATTTTGCATCACGATTTTCATCGACCTGTACTGTATATGTGGTAGACGCTAGCTAAAATACCAGTAGTGACATAAACTCTAAGATGTCCAGAGCTAATCAGTACCTTAATATTTCACTTTCCGTTAATATTTGGAAGACACATAATGGTTTCATTAACTCGTTGTAAAGCGCTGGGGAGGTGGCCGGCGTTACCCCTATGCCGGGCTTACCCCAGAAAAATCAACACTTTTTTGAAACTCAATTTTCTCAACCTTATACTTATTCCACGAAACCGAATTTTTGGGAAAGCACGGCCAATGAACTTAGCTAGCTAACAGGATATCAACATTTTATACAGCACGTATAGTATGTAATAAAAATGAAAAAGTGCTTACTATGCCGGGCTTCCCCCGGCTTCCCCTACACACGTTTTAGATAAGAAACTCGTCATTTTTATTTAAACTCACCTAAAACGTCCCACCAGAAACACCGGCAACCGGAAAATAATTTAGTTTGATAACCAAAGTATGCCTCACCTTTTGACAATGTTTCTACCCCGATTTCTCCTACCAGTTTTTCTGTAGGGAGGTAGGTCGCAAATAGGAAAGGGTCGCTAATTAGGCACCTTACCCTACTTACCATCATTACCCTACTTACCATCATTATGTATTATATTATGAAGTACAAATGTCAAACACCAAAGCCTGCCATGAAGTCTCCACAGCATTCCTGTTTCGTAATACGCATCACTATGGTTACACTCGAGAGAATCAACGTTTTTCGTCAGTACCTCCTGCCCAAATTGAGTTTGTGGGTCGGAGGAGGCATAACTCAGAATAAGCCTGAACTCAGAAACTCAGAATAGGAGTCGTTCAATAAAACAGAAGATACAAGACCTCTCTAAGTCTAGAGATACTCTCATGCTGCCGACCGAGGGCCCTGTGAGATTAACAGAGACCCTTCAGAGCCCAAAGGCCAACAGAGAGCCATGGCGACTCTCTGAAGTCTGAGGCCATCCGAGAGCGAGCCCTCTTAGGCTAACAGAATTCAGAGCGTTCTCTCAAACCTACTTAGGGCATTGAAAAGCCGTGAGGCTAGCCGAGGTGGACCTCTGAATCTGATGCCAGCAGAGAGCACTCGGAGGCCGACATCTGAGGATAACATGTATTTCTGAGGTCAACTGAGTAGTAAAGGCGGGACCGGCCAGGCGGCACCGTTTGACAGGCGGACAGCTATTTTGTTTCTGCCAGATGTCACACCGTACCGGTCGCTCCTGTGCCTACGGGCTGCGGCACGACATACAGCGTCACCTATCAGTATTCAGTACGGTAAATAGCGCCACCGTCGGCCGGGACGCGCACCCCGCTCCGCTCGTCACCCCGCCCGCGTGCGCAATGCGCATGCGCAGCCCGAAGTAAACTGCCCCGTGGCGGCTGGCGCCGGGCGGCCGGGCGGGCGCAAGGCCAACGATCTCGACGGGTATCGCAATTCGTCAAGGTGACGCCTGACGGCGGACCGGCCGGTGGGGGCGGTGCCGCGGCAGATTACACGCATTGGGACGAGAAGAGCGGCAGTGGTGTTGGACATCAGCAACGCCATGGTACGTAACTGACGTTTTCCTTATGTAATGACACTGACAGCCTTGCGTTTCAGTCAGGAATATTTCGTAGCGGAGCAAGCTGAAGCGGGCTATGCCGTTGCGTACTATTGGTCTTTGGGAATGGGGCAGCAAATAGAAGCTATCCAGACTTCATCAGTATCTTATCAGCATTATCATGAAAAATGATATGACATTCATATTTGAACATTGACTGGTGACTGCTAAATGACTGCCTACCTAGTTCATGTGAGGTCAGAGCCCCCAGGTCACCAAGTTGGTCAAGGGGGGTCTTGCCGCGTAGCATTCGATGCGGCAGGTCTTCTCGAGTCCCCCAATGGTGACTTTCCCGACTCGCTAGCTCAATTTGATCAGGAGTTATTGACGAAAACTTTTAAGACCTTCGTGACGTCATAAATGACGCCAGTCGCCACACAAGGTCAACCATGCAAAAGTAATGCATCGAAACTTGCAAGGAGTGCATGAAATCACGATTCCGTGTGATTGAGATAGTTTGAGATCGTTCCCGGCGTCAAAATAGCAGTTTTCATTTTTCCCCCATTGACTTAAAGTGGTGAGGCCACGTGACCGACCTGACCTCATGTGACCTTTAGGAAAAATCCCAGGTGAAGTTGTGAGACCTCTGGAGGATACATACAACCTCCTGTAAGTTTCATCTCCCTGTGAAAGCTCCTCTGGTAGGTACTCAGAGGGCGTTACGAAGTTGCGACATCTGAAGACTGTAGATGTTCACTTATGACGTCATAGGTCTGCGACCTGACCTGACCCGAAAATTTGATTGGTGTCTAAAGATCCGACTTGACTCATAGGTCGGGGATGCCAAGTTTCAGCTCTCTAATCTCTAGCGTGCTCGGAGCTATCGCGAAAAAACTATGGTTTTTCCGATAACCCTCGGCCGGCGAGGGTTAAAGTAGCTACTTGACCTCTGATTCATGACTGGGCTTGTGACAATAACATCATCTTCAGCTCAGGTCCGGTAACTGAACTATGTCATGACGGAACTTCTGTGGGGTTCTAAAATGTTGCAATTTTCCAACGCCCACAGTTCTAGAGAATCTTACGCAGGAAGATGCAGCTTCCAAGGCGAAGGTAACTCCTGAGGGCTCACAGTTTGTATATCTCAGATTTTTCGCAGATGTCACCTGAGGTCAGGTCGGTCACATCACATGACCTCACGGAAATATGGGAACGGTGACTTTGCGCTGACAATGATCTATGAGCCCATCTAAAGCACATTGAATCCAGCTTTTATTTACGTCTTGCAGGTCCGATGCCTAGTTTTGGTATTGTTGAGCTTACGTGGTGTCATAACGTCATGGTGTTATTTGACGTCAATAAGGTCATCATAGTTTTCGTCAGCCTAATTCCTAGTCAAATTGAGCTAGCTAGTCGGGAAAGCCATGAATGAACTCTAAACTCCGAACTCCTAACTCCGAAGCATGACCTCCTTCGCCCGACTTCTTGGCCTTGGTAGTTTTGCCCTGACCCTAACCTGAGGTCAAAGCTCAGGTTAAGGCTATCATTCATGATAATTGACAAAGAAAACAAATATTATTCGACGCGTCTGAGTATGACGAACACGGTGATCATCACTTTCGGAGATATCAATGGAAGTAAACAGGGCCCATTTCGTCCCGCTCCCCTACGAAGCACGGGGTAAATGTGTTGGCCCGTATAATTTAGCGAAAATAGCTACACTTTCATAATCGTGCCAGTAGTGACAGCCGGCTAAAGTGACTTTCTATTCCATCTGCTAATGTCAGCGTGGAACCGTATAAGGCGCAACGGAACTATTGTTTTCTTAGGCTGCACCTCCAGTCCGCACCATTACTCGTACCTACAGGTTAGGCTTTGTTGGTTGGGGCCGAATACTCACGTGATCCCCCTACCAAATGTAAAAACTTCGGATCTACTATCTCATATTTTGTTTCGATGATTCACAACGACAGAAACATGTTTTCCACATCAGGTTGATCATCCAACTTGATCGCCCTAGTGCCTGCAAACTGCAGATTGGACACTGCGTAATTAGATGCTTGCTGTACGGTGAAAAATACGTTGGTCATAAGTGTTCATTGGATCCTGTGATTGTTTTTGACCGAATGAGGCTATTCTGATTACTGAAAGCACTAGGGTGTTTGCCGGAGTTCGGCGCCCGAAATGAGGCCTCCCTGAGTGTCTGCGGCCCGGCTGGGTGCCATTCGCGCCCCGCTCGGGCCGGACGGCAGTCGGTCTCCGAGACACCCCACCGTCTGACGGTGCAGTCCCCCAGCAGGAAGATGCGGTCCGTGGCGGTGCTGGCGCTGCTCTGGGCCGCCGCCGGAGGTGCGCTGTTCCGCTCCAGACTGGTGGAGCACGCGCAGACGCCGCTCAGATCGGCCGGCGGCGTCTCCGGCATTCAGTGCGCTTCGCTCTGTCTGTTGGCTAGCGACTGTGTCGGCTGGAGTCGCGACCCGCACACCGGCGCGTGCCGTCTCTGGCCGCCGGCTTCCGCGCAGAACCCGCTCACCCCGCTGAAGGAGCTGGTGTTCCAGAGCAGGCTGATTGCAGTTCCGGACGGATTTACAGTCAGCGATGATCCAAAGGTCGCCTACAACATCATCATGATTGTAGCCAGACTGTCTAAGGAGTCTTTCGTTGCCGCCTGCCATGCTAAGCACCCAGATGCATTTCCAGCCGTCCCGAGCACAACGCTGCAGTTCGAGTACTTGAAGGCAGCCGTTCCAAACGATGCAACTTTGTATGTCGGAATCTACAGAGATACGACCATGAACGTTTTCAAGAGCATGGCAGACGGGCAGACAATGGAGCCTCCCTCCAGCTGGTGGATTGGTGGCTCCGTACTCGTAGAAGATTGCTGTGAATGCATCTCCATGACCTATGAGGGCATCTACCCCACCATCTGTAGTGCTGCACTCCACGGCTACATCTGTCAGTACAACTTGTAGACCAACAAACGACAACACTACCTAGTACCTAGTACCTACCGTTAAACGCCGTTGCTCGCTCAGAACTCTGAATGTTGCTGAGATGGGATGGCTTGGCTTGCGGCGTGTTTAAGCATAGCCGAATGAGCTTTAGCTCAACAGTGCTGGCTGTTGAGTGAGCGTCTGCATTAGAGGGCTCACCCATTTGGCAGTGTTTTGGAGGCTCATCTGCAGTGCACATTGAATACGCTCGAGACAAGCTGTGTCTCCTTGCTGCCTCATTTGCCGTGTGATTCCTGATACCGATGGGCCGACTCCATCCGGCGATTCCGCCTGTTAGCCGGTGCCACAGAACGGCCATCGGCGTGTTCGGGCCTTCTGCACCGTCGTGTTGTTCTGCTGCTGTATACCGTTGACTACAGAACGATGTTCAAGTTTTCACAGATAATTAGTTGCCCACGGGATGGTATGCTGACTGCTGTGCCGCATTGCACAAGCTAAGTGACGAATATAATGCTGTGACCCAACGCTCGCCAGAGACACGCTTAGTTCCATGATAAGCGGCACAACCTAGCGTTCTCGCCAACTGATTCCTTCAAAGAAGTGCAACATCATTCTGTAGTCAACTGAACTGTACTGTGTATGTTTGTGAAGCTCCTTCAGATCCGGCAATATAGCACTGTTACCGTGAAGCAGTCGATTCACTAGAGGCAGATATTGTTAGTACTTCGATTGTCCCGCAGTAGATAAGTAAGGCACACATGTGCTGCTGCTGTCGGTAGGTTAAGACTATAGGTAGTGGTGTGTCCTAATCACGCACATGCACTCAGCCTGGAACTGTCTGTGATCTTTGCTCTTCAACTGCCTTGATTCTGTATGTACCTATTTTCCTAAAGGCTCTGTTATTTACATAATACGAGTACATACATCTTTTATGTCGGTGGGCGTGAACAGTTTGTGAGGGAAATGTCGGCTGTCGGCAAAAAGGTTAGGGCAAAGTAATACTATATCTACGTACAGCACAAGCGAGTGGCAGCAAATTCCTAAATTCTTTGCCTGACTTCTTATGCTGGTGCTTATGCTTGCACTGGGTACCTTCCGCGCCAATTGGATAAGATTTACAGCGGAAGACCGGCATTTCAAGACGCAGCATTTGGCATAACATGCTCGGTTAACCCGTGCGCAATACGCATGATTGGGGTATATTGTATAACCTGAGCGATGGGAGGGGGAGGGGAGGGGCCCGCGATCTCAAACTTGGTATGTGGATAGAAGATGGTAGGGATTATCATACATATTACGGTTGTTTTGAAATTAAAAAAAAACTTAGGAGTTTTTGGCTAATATATCCAAAAATACTTTTTTATTTTTTTTTTGGGTCAAAATCCAAACATTTCAAAAATCCGAGACAGCAGTTTTATAGCTCAGTAAATTCTACAGTTTTTCTTTTCAGATCATGTTTTTATGTATCTTCAATTTTCAAAGCTGTAGGCCTGACAGCTTTTCCCGCGAAACCTTTTTTGGGTCGAAAATGACAGAACTTGACGTCAATCTGACGTTATTTGTGGCCACCTATCATAGTCTCTGTAAACAACTTTTGATCACAATGTGTAACATTGATACTTGGAGGGGTTCTGATATTTTGGTGACGATACCTGCAGTCGTTTAGGAGATATCTACGGAAAAGGATGGAGGGGGTGCGTTTCGCACCCCCCCCTCCCCCCCGACGGGGCGTGGATGAAAGAAGAACGCATGATAATCCGACACGGGCACCCCAGTGGGTGTGTCTTTTTCCATAACAAAATGTTTGGTCGTCTAAAGGGAATCGGCCAAATCAAAAGTAAACCAATCGACACGAGACGGATTGCATACCCATGTATCGAAAATAACCCTTCGCGTCACGGAACAAGCTGTTGTTCACCCTAATAATTTACTTTTGAAAATGTTTTGTTCCCTGGGAGTACCGAGCCTGTAGGTAGGTATTTGGTATGTTTTAGGTCAAGACTAGGTCGCGCAAGGTCACACTGACGTTAATTCCAGTCCGCCTACGACAGC